GCCGCGGCCGCACGCAGTCACGCTCACGGAGGCACCGCGGAAATGTCGCGGAACCGTCTCACACCTCTGTGCGGGGAAACGGCGCGAGATGGCGCGAGATGGCGCGAGACGGCGCGAGATCGCGCGAGACGGCGCGAGATGGCGCGAGATGGCGCGAGATCACTCCTCGTGCGGCGAGTGGTCGTACGAGCGCGGGAGGGATGCGTCCGTGAGGATGACGAAGTCGGCGGCGCCTTTGTGCTGCGGTCGAAAGGCGTGGCACTCGGCCTCGGGGTACATGGCAACCTAATTAATTAATTAATTACTGATTAATTAATAATTAAGGCGTGGCACTCGGCCTCGGGGTACATCGCAACCTTAATAATTAATCAAGTGCTGATTAATTATGAATTGAGGCGTGGCACTCGGCCTCGGGGTGCATCGCAACCACGAGAGTCGACGGCGGCTGAGGCGCGTACGCGGAGAGCATCTCGGCGATGCCGACGTGCTTCTCGCAGTGGAAATAGCCGCACACATGCACCACCAGCGCCTCGGGCCTCGCCTGCAGCCAGCGGAGCAGCCACTCAGAACCAGATGATGATGCACCACCAGCGCCTCGGGACTCTCGCCTGCAGTGCCCGGGCGATGGAGAGAGCCATAGTCGCGTCCCAGAGCAGCACCGGCGCGAGCAGCCCGTCCCGCCCGCTGACGCCGAGGTACGGACACTCGCCCTGCCGCCTGAGGACAACCACTCAATGCATCGACGCTAGCGAACTGAGGCCGACGTGAGGAGCGCGACCCTTTACCCTTCCCCCCCTTATTCCCATCCCCACCCCCTACCCAAGCCGCCTCTCTGTCGTCGACTGCTCCGTCAGGGCCGGTGAGCCGACCGATCCTCGGGCGGTTATCTCGCGGCCCAGATCGCCACCCGCCTCCGCCACCAGCTCCGGGTCCGTGCGGCCGACCGCCGTGCCGAGCACCTCCGGGTCCGCCATTAATTAATTAAATTAATTAATTAATTAATTAATTAATTACCGCCGTGCCGAGCACCTCCGGGTCCGCCAGTAAGTGCTGCATGTACACCTGCGACGGCGCCGGCAGCGGCAGCGGCGGCAGAAACGGCGCCACCTGCTGCGGCCACGCCTCGACCGCCGCAAAGTCCTCGTGCAGCGCCTCTGCTCGCCGCCCGACCGCGCCGACGTATCTCCGAGGCGCGTTGGCGGCGACCACCGGGAGGCGGCACGCCTTTGCGAATAGGCGCTGTTCACACCTCCCTGTTCACACCTCTCTGTTCACACCGGGAGGCGGCACACCTTTGCGAACTCAGGGAGGTGTGAACGGCGTCTATTCACACCCACTGCTGTGAATAGGCGGCACACCTTTGCGAACTCGACGAGCGGGCGGTAGTCGGAGCGGTAGTTTGTCCACGGGCGCGCGTCCTGCAGCATGCCCTTCTAATTAAGTAGTGGACTGACTAAGTAACTAAGGTACTAAGCAACTAAGTAACGAAGTAACTGTCCTGCAGCATGTCCTTCTAATTAAGTAGTGGACTGACTCAGTAACTAAGCAACTAAGTAACGAAGTAACTGTCCTGCAGCATGTCCTTCTCGCGGATCGCGCCGGCCAAGTACTCGTCCAGCACGAGCTGCACGTCGCGCTCGAACATCTCAAGCGAGAGGACGACCTAATTAATTAATTAATTGCTGATTAATTAATAATTAAGGCGTGAACATCTCAAGCGAGAGGACGACCTCAGGCCGCACGGCGGCCAGCGAGATGAGGAGGAACGCCTCGAGGTGGTGCGCGACGGGGTCGTCGTGGCACTCCCCGAGCAGCACGACGTCGCTCGACGCCGCCTCTGCCAGCAGCTCCGCCAGGCTGCTCTGCGCGCCGTCGCCGCGGAAGACCGAAAAGTGCTCCGACCCACCGAGCGGCACCTGCGGCAGCTGCTGCGCAAACACCCTGGCCCGCTCCATTGAGCTCCCTCCCGGCGCGACGCCCGACTGCGCCGCATCCGCGTCCCAAAAGTCGCGCAAGTACTGCCGCGCCATGCGATGGCCTCTCTCCGCCGCAGCGACAAGGAGCGGCACCGCCGCGGCGACGTCACTCTCGACGCCCATCCCTTCGATGAGCAGCTCGGCCTGCATGAAGTTGGCCGACATGTGCTGTTGCGCCGCCGCCGCCTCAAAGCACGCGTATGCCCTGCCGTAGTCCTCCGCGAGCAGCTGCGGCACGCTGCCCAAGTAGTGCAGCACGCCGACCTATTCCTCGACCACCCTCCGTCATGCCGGGGTGGCACACGCTGCCCAAGCAGTGCAGCACGCCGACCTCGTACAGCGCCTGCGCGTGCCCCGCCGCGGCCACCTCCTGCAGCAGCGACACCCCCTCTGCAGTGCTCTCCTCCTCGAGGTCCTAACGGGTAGGGTAGGGGGTGAGGACGGGACGTGCCACGCGTAAACAACATGAACTCGGCAGTTCTGCGGTCCCTCCCGATGCCCTCGAGCAGCACCGTCGCCACCGCAACCGCCGCGTCCTGCCGCAGCGACCCTACGGCGCAGCACACGTATTGGTTCTTGACTCATTCTTGACTCAGCGCTGGTGTCCTCGGCCGCACCGGACCCGCGCATATTGGTTGTCCAATCACTGGGACTGGTTAGCTCATCCCTCACGGTGGCCGCCGCAACCACGCCCGCTCCCCGCTGTGTGTGCGTGAGTGTGCGAGTGTGGGTGTCGTCTCAGGGTGTGACGTGCCTCGCTCTCTGCCATCACCAACAAATCACGAAGGAATGAGGCGTGGTTCGCTAGTTGTCCGTTCTGACCTGCCCCGCTCTTAGCCAGCTCGCGGTAGCGGCGTAAGCCGTCCACGGGGTCCAAGTTGTTGAACGTGAGGCACGTCGCGAGGTCGAACTGTGCCTGCGGCGGCGCGTCCGCCGCCGCCGCCGCCTCCTGCAGCGCCGGCAGCTCCTCTGGCTTTGGTTGGACCGGAGGCCATGCCCGTGGCGGGAGCTTGTGGAAGCCAGCCTCGTCCTCCTCCCACTTGCGCCGCAGTTGCTCCTCCCGCGGCCGCAGCTTCTGGAGCTCGATGTGCATCCCGCTGGACACTCCTTGCCTCCGCACATCATACGAGCACTCGGCCAGCTCGGGCGGCGGTGCAGCGGCGCGGGCGAGCAACACCGCGCCCGCGCTGACCGGAGCGGCCAGCCGCGAGAGGCGGCGAAAGGACATGACGAGGTGGCAGCTTTGACAGCACCGTCCGATGCTTGTAGGGAGGCGATGAGCGGCGCGTTGGCGGCACACGTTGGCGGCACACGAGCAAGCCCTTCTCGGATATTACGCGGGGTGGCGGCGTGGGGGTGGGGCGGGTGGGGTGGGGTGGGTGTGTGTGTGTGTGTGTGGGTGGGTGGGGGTGGGGGTGGGGTGGGGGGGGTGGGGGGGGGGGGGGGGCAAGGGCAATGCTTTCAGCAAAAGGAAAGCCAGCTTTTTCGATGTATGTAGCTCTTACGAACATACCCCGTAGGTGAACTGACAGGGTTTGCGATGAGGAGCGATCCGAACGTGAATTCGGGTGATTAGATCACTACCGCCGAAGCGCAAGCGCTTGGAGCAAGGGATTTTTAGTACCGCGGAAGACGGGGACGGAGCCCCGCCAGTGTGCAACCTCACATCCAGGGGTCTCGCGCGCGGCCGGGGCGCGCGGCGGCCTGCTGCTCGTCTTTCGGGGCGGCGCGCGCGCGGCGGCCGGCGAGTGCTCACTGTGCGTATCCGCTCCCCACTCAAAAGCGGTGCTGATCTGCCGCACAGCGCACTGTGTAGAGCCGTACACGGTACAGCCGTAGAATACATCAAAAGGCAAAAAGGAGACGCAACACGAGTGCCGCCAGCGCCACTTCCAAGCAGCAGCAGCTCACGCGCGGTGCTGACACGCTCTGTGTATCGCGTGCTCACCATACCGGCGGCGGCGAGGAGCACGTGTGAGAGGGACTCTGCCGTCCGCCGCGTTGGTGGTGCCCTATGTGTATCGCCCTATTCGGCCGCCACGGGCTCCGCCGCCTCCTCGTCCTCCTCCTTGTAGTCTCCCACCTTGAACGTGGCGTCCACCTCCTTGATCAAGGCCGCCGCCTCGAGCAGAGTGAGCCCCTTGACCGTCTCCAGAACCTGTTCACAGCTGCAGGTGTGAAGAGGCGCCGTTCACAGCAGAGTGAGCCCCTTGACCGTCTCCAGAACCTACGTGCCGAATACACCAACATCAGGGCGGGAAGGCGGGATTGCGCAGAGTCTTCAGAGCACCGCGTGAATACGAGGGAGGCGACTGCAGTGACTACGGCTGAATGCGGCTGACTACAGCTGAATACGTGTCCTCTCGAGCGCTAGTTGGAGTACAAGAACAGTATTCCGCTTCTAGGGTCCAGAACCTCGGCCGGCACGCCCGAGAGGTCGTCCAGCACCGACGCAGCGGGCGGCTCCTCCTCCGCCGCCGGGGCGTCCTCGCCAGCGTCGCACATGGCCGGCAGCCGCAGCTCGCAGCGCCGCGACAGCGGAAGCGGCGTCGAGATGACGAGGCCTAAAAAAAGGCAAGAGAGGGTGGGAGGGCGGGAAAAAAGACGCGCTGGTGAGCGAGCGAGGCTGCGGGGCGAGCGGTGCGCGCCAAGAGTCGATGGCGCAGCGAGCAGGGCGAGCATTATCAAGCGAGGCGAGCTGAGAGAGCGCGAGCAGCACGCTCCGGTGACTCGCGAAAGAATTTGTGCGCGGAAGAAAACGAACTCGCTCTCGAAGAGGAGCCATGTCTAGCGTCCACCCATACCGCGATGGTGTCCCAGTCGTTGGTCGGACTGTGTTTCGCCTTCCCATCAATCAATCAAAGCCATGTCTTCTTGCTCCTCGCGAAAGAGAAAAATGAGGAAGGTCGGCCGATGATTATCAAGCGAGGTGGAGCAGGGAGCGCGAGCACTAAGCACTTGGAGCACTAAGCGAGCTGTGATCGCGAAAGAAAAACGCCCGCATCGTATATATCGCCTTATGTCGTCCACCCATACCGCGTTGGTGTCCAGTCCGAGCCTGACTGTTCTTCACCTTACTACATACATACAAGCGGTACGCCCGGTTTATTGTCACCCCTTGTCCCGTTTATTGTCACCCCTTCTCCCGCCTAAGCGAACGGCAAACAATGTGCAGCCAGCCCGTCGTAGCCGTTGGTTGCCGCAGATTGTACTGTAGCCGCGCGTGTGTTATGCTGATTTCTCGAGACACGTCTGAGTATGCACGTCGTGGCGTGCGCTTTCGTCTCCTCGCGTCAAGGGCGTAACGGCTCCGGAATTTCGAGTTTGGCCGCTGCGGGCCGGGGGTGGGCTGGACCGGGCGCGCTGGCGGCGTTGGATGGTTTTGGGCAGGGGCACGCGCGCGTTGGGTGGTTGCCATCATGATGGGACGGATGCAGACCGGCTAGACGCACACGTGTAACGGTGTGTACACAGGGTGTGTAGCCAGTGGTCGTGTCCCCCCCCCCCCCCCCCCCCGCCGCCCCCTAGCCCCCCCCAGAGAACGCTGTGCGGCACCGACCATCACTCAGTCGACCCTGGGCGTGCCGAAGACGTGCCAGACGCGGCAGCGCGGGCCACCGCCGCACCACACCCACACGCATGGGTCAGTTCATTGCGGCATGCTCACACCACAAGACCGGCTCTACATTGTGGGGTCTGCTGATGGAATTGTTTGCGGAGACGGTCCAGCGCCCGCTCCACATGTGTTATGGTGCATGCTGCCTCACGGGAAGGTCCTCGGTGTGCTTCAGAAATCGAACAATTCCAACAGAGCTGATCGGCACCGTCCTCTTCTGGCGGCAAGAATGCAGTCACGTCCTTTCCAAGCTCTGTGGCCTGTCGGTTTCACACACGGCGGCCGTCACACACACAGACACATTCCGTATGATTCACGCGGCTCGCGACCCCGCTGCGGCCGTCGTCTCCGGCTACACTTACCACACTCGGGTGCGCATTGGGCGCCCCAGGCCTAGCTCGCCCCCTGTGAACTTTCCTATTGCTAATCCAAACAGGTGCCGCCGCCCGAGGGCTGGTTCGCGTGTTGAAAGCCTCGTCTCTTGCAATGAGCCCCACATGCACAATCAGCTCCTCTTCTGGACTCATGTGGCTGTGGGCTGCCCTTTTTGGCCGGGAGCGTATCTGCAAGTGAAAGCCAACAGTGACGCCGCACGCCAGCCACACCTTAAAAGCAGTCCGCCATGAGCAGACTGGATCGACGACGCACGGAATTGGAGAAGCAGGCCCCCCCCCCCCCGGCAGGGCGAGTCTTCAGGACGCTGGAGGAGGCTCGCGCGCCTGGCCACTTGCAAAATGCCACGCGCGACGCTCGCACATACGGCCAGCGGCTTCGGTCGCTGCCATGGCCGGAGGGGCTGGAGGTCGAGGCGGCGCATTGCACCTGATTATGCTACAGAAGGCTGCCAGCATTTTGGAAGCCGTCGCCCGCGCCTCGCCTTTTGCGTGAATCGTAAAAAAGAAAGAAAACAGACAACCCAAGGGAGGGATGGGAGAACGGCACGCCGCCACCACACAGGGATTTTAAGGAGAGGGGTGTGGTGAATCGTGTCGTCACTCGCTCGTAACATTCTAAAATTCTTTTTGTGTCGCTTAGGCGGCTCCGGTGGTGTGCCGGAGTCGAAGCCGGAGTAAAATTCTCTCTCTCTCTCTCTCTCTCTCTCTCTCTGTCTGTAAAATTCTTTTTGTGTGCACACATGCGAGCGGCTGCGGCGGCGTCTTCGCGCCTCCCGCCTCCCGCCTGCGCGGCGCGGCTGCCGCTGCGGAGGGGCTCGCGGCCCGGCCTCGCCTCTGCGGCGCGGCGCGGCTTCCTCGCCTCGCCCGTCGCCCGCCACGGCGACTTTGAGTGGCAGGACGCAAAGTCGCCAGACGAGGCTCGCACCCTGTCGCCGGCCGCCTGCTGTCGCCCTGCCGCCGCCTGCCGTCCCCGCTGCCGCACGCGCAGTCCTGCTGCCGCCATTCGCCCTCGCGCACCGCTACAGAATTCGCCAACTCCCCTTTGCCACCGCGCCTCTGCCGCCTCCGCCGCCTCTTGCCGTCCGCCTCCTCCCGTCACCGCCTCCTCCTACAGATCTGCCTCTGACCTCGCCGACCTTGTTCCCGCAGGTCGTCCGATTTGTCATCGTGACGCGGGACGGGGCGAGCGGCCGCGACCGTCGCACAGGCGACGCGCCGGAGCCCGTCCGCGAAGCTTCTCGGAACCTTCCTGCAGGTGCGGCGCGACGTGGCGGGGAAGGTTGGGGACAACCTGCTGTACCTCTGCCACCGGCTGCGCATGTCGGGCCAGGTGCCCGAGATCACACTCGAGGGCGCTTGCGAGGCGTCGCTCGCTTGCTCGACTTGCCACGTGATTGTTGGAGACGGCCACTTCGACCGGCTGCCGGAGCCGAGCGAGGACGAGGAGGATATGCTCGACGAAGCTGTCTGTCTGACGGCGAGCAGTCGGCTGGGCTGCCAGATCGTCCTCTCCAAGGTACGAGATGTGGGGAGATGTGGGGAGATGTGGGGAGATATGGGCTGCCAGATCGTCCTCTCCAAGGTACGCGCGCCGCACGGGATGGGATGGAGTATTCATTCATTCATTCGTTCATTCATTTCATTCGCTCCTCCATCCACTCCTCCATCCACTCATTCATTCTCTGCAGGAGCTCGAGGGGATGGAGATCACGCTGCCGGCGTACAGCAAGAACTTTTACGTGGACGGCCACGTCCCAGAGCCGCACTGATCCGGAAGAAGAAATATCTCACTGATCCGGCGCGGTCCGCGGGCCTCAGGGCGCGACAGACACTCACGCCGTTCCTACGGCGCTGTAACACACGGCCACGGAGTGTCGATGGCGGTGCTGCGGTGCGGCTCGCGCGGAACCGCGGGGTGTGCCGGTCCTACTCGAGCAGGTGAGTACTAAGAGGTAAGAGGCGTGCGATCAGCGTCAGCTAATGCAGGGTGTGTCGAGTGGGGGTGTAAGAACGAAAAATACAGGGGTCCGCGTGCCTCCTCGTGTCCAGCACCGCTGGCGTTGCTCCACACCCGCGCACGCCCCCCTCACCTCGCAGTCCTCACACCTGAGCTACGGCTCAATCGGCTCTACTGTGTACTGACGCTGAAGGTAAGGTAAGGTAAGGTAAACTTCTCCACACACACGAGGTGGTGGGGCAAGGGGGGGCAACCCTCGCGTCTCCACGTCTGACGACAGGAGCCCCACGGCATTCAAAGTGCAAGGCCCAGTGCGCGTGGGTGAGCGGTGTGTGTGTGTGTGTGTGTGTGTGTGTGTGTGTGTGTGTGTGTGTGTGTGTGTGTGTGTGTGTGTGTGTGTGTGTGTGTGTGTGTGTGTGTGTGTGTGTGTGTGTGTCACGTCACTGCATCCTCCGCCGGTTCCTCCCGTCGCCTCTTCTTTGTTCGAATGTTTTTCAATCCATCCTTCACGAAGCCCTCCCATGTAGCTAGCGTTCTTGGCGAATGTCTCGAAATGGCCAGCAGGCGCTGTCTGCTCGCGGTCTGTGCGTGCCGCTCGTCCTCCTCGCCCTTCTTTCGTCCTCCCGTCCCTCCCCTCCACCATGGCCTTCTCGGCACTTCTTTCTCCATCCGCCTCGCCCTGCCTTTTCGCATCGTGCCGTTCGCCCTCCATTCGGTGACCTCCATGGCTGTCCGCCCCTTTTTGGGTGGCGCTCTCGATACGGTTGCGTCAACCTCGACGTCGCTGTCGCCCTCCCCGTCCCCGCCGGCGTCCGTGCCTCGGTTCGCGTCATCGGTAGCGTCTCCGTTGTTCCCTCGTGCCCCGCCGTCGCCCTCTCTGCTCGGGCCGTTAGCGATTTCGCTCCTCCTGCGTGTCGCCCCTCCGTCCCCTCCCCTTTCTTCGTCGTCATCGTCGCTGTCGCGAAAGCCCTCCGGTCCCTCGATTCCCTCGCCTATCCCCTCCGCTGCGTCGTCCCAGTTTATATCCTCATCCTCTGCGCACGTCGCGTTGGCTTCCTCTCTCCCCCTTTCCTCCCTGCCCCTCTCGCTGTCTGGTGTTAATGGACCCCCTTCCTCTCCCTCGCCACCGTCACCGTCTCCATCCCCGTCGCTGAGTGCAGCGCTCCCGCTCCCTCTTGGAGGAGTGGACCCGCCGCCGCATCATCGATCGGCTCCTGCTTCAAACAAAGGGCGACTGTATTCCGGGAGCAGCCTCATTCATGCATGAGAGAGATGTGCTCGATGGATGAGCTGCAGGTCAGAGGCGCCAACGATGTTCCGCCGCGGAGGACCTCACATTCTCACATGGACATGGGGAGAGGTCCTCTTGAGTGAGAGATCCTCACATGTCACAGGCTGTCACGGAGGAGGGTTTTTGGACAGTCCTCCGTGTTGACTTGGGGCGATTGGAGCCGCGAATGGAGCTCCGCACCGGAATGACGAGGCGCATGTAACGACCCCCGGGGGTCCCGATAATCGAATTGAGGAGGGCGGGCGGTCCCATTGCGTGTAACGATCTCTCTGATCTCTCTGAACGCCACACAAGAGTCGTGTGAGGGCCTCGGAGCGAGGCCCTGTCGTGTCGCCCGGGGACGTCATTGGCCCTCTGCCAGGCGGTGTTCGCCGGCGCCTCCGTTGAGCAGTGAGCCTGGGGGTGGGCGCGAGTCGGCCAGATAGCCGGCGGCCCCCACGAGATGAGCCGCCGTGCCGGGGTCCGCGCCCCTCCCGGAGGGTGAAGGCATGCCCGCGGAAGTGGGCGTTGCCTGCGTGCGCTCCAGGGTGCATTGGGCTCCACTCCGTTATGCCCGCCGAGGGGCGGTGGCCCATCGGCCGGGCGGGGTGGAGCTCCGGTCTTGCTGCTTGCCCATCAATGCTGCGTCGGCCTTGCGGCCGGGCTATGCGCTCGAAGGGGAGGGTGGGCGTAGACGCGATGGCGTCCAAGCCCGGTGTTGCCAGCGGCCCGAGACTGAACGACAGGGCCCGCACCGGGCCCTCACACGACTCTCGTGTGGCGTTCAGAGAGATCGTTACACACAATGGGACCGCCCGTCCTCCTCAATTTGATTATCGGGACTCCCGGGGGTCGTTACATGCGCCTCGTCCCTCCGTTGCGAGCTCCATTCGCGGCTCCAATCGCCCCAAGTCACCAGCACGGAGGACTGTCCAAAAACCCTCCTCCGTGACAGCAGCACACAGCGTCCCGGCTAGGGACTTGGAGACTCAGCCGGCTCGAGGGCGACTGTTGCCGATGTAATAAAAAGGGAACCTCGCGCCCCTGCTCAGCCGCGGAGGTCCGTTGCCGACGCCCCATGGTCGTCGGGCGTCATGAACATGTCATCAAAATACGTTCATGACCCATACAACAGAGAGCGTTGGAGTGCACGCCAGAGCGGTAGCCCCGGCCGCGACGGCAGGCGAATGCTGGCGACGCGGTGAGTTGTGGGCGTGGAGTCCGTCTCAGCGGTCGGGCGTGGAACCCCGCGTGTGTCTCCAGCCAACGCTGCCCGAGAGGGGTGTGCGAGGGCGGGCCGGCTGCCTGCGGAAGTGTCAGCTGCTCGACCTTGCGCCGCTGCAGCGTGACGAGGTAGTCGCGCTCGCGCAGCTGCCCGCGGTCGTCGGCGACGTCGGTCGGGGCGATCACATCGAGGTAGATGCCGCACTCGTCCTCGCGCACCTGGATCTTGAAGCGCCTGCGGGGCGCGTGTCGTGGGCGCTGCGGTGAGTGGAGTGGGCGGGATCGGCACGCACGTGCGTGTGCGTGCGTGTGCATGCGTGCGCGTGTGTGTGCGTGTGTGTGCGTGTGTGTGCGTGCTGCGCGTGTGCGTGCGTGCGTGACAGCGAGGTCCTCAACTTGAGAGGTCCTCACAGCAGAAAGCCCTCTCTATGTAACTCGAGATTGTCACGACAACAGGGTAGTGGACGGAGCCCATCGTGGATCCGCTTGAGTTGTCCGCTTGTGCTTGCCAGATGCCAGACGGCAGAGGCTCCCATGTGCGGTCGTGCGCCATATAAACGCCTCATACGTCCGTATTGCAATACACATATTAACATTGCCATGTTGGGCGGTGGGTGTGCAGTGTGCGCGCTCGCTTTCTTTCTTTTTTTCTGCCCACGAAGTGCCTGTTCCCCCCCTTCATCACAAGACGGTCGCCTCAAGCATCCGCCCTCGTTCGCCATCATGTCGTACGTCTCGGACTGGAGGGCCCCTGGCAAGCTCGTCGCGTCGCTCGGCGCACCCTTCTGGGGCAATCTGAAGCCCACCGCCGGCGATTTTGCCTGCCTGTGCTCGCTGTTCTTTGACAACCTCTCGACGATGCTCACCTTCTCGGCAATCTGGCAAGCGCCCCCCTTCACCGCCCACGAGTCGCTCCCACCACCGATTCCCACTCTTCACGACGATTTCGCTCTCTCCGGCCCAAAACCGTGATCCACACGCCGACTCCGCCACCAGGCTCTTCGACGTCACCGACGGAGGCGACAAAGCGAGGGAGCTTCTCTACAAGCGAATCATCCCGGGCTGCGGCTTCGTCCTCTTCCTGGGCAACGTGTACTACTCCTGGATGGCGACGCGTATGAAGACTCAGTTCGGCCGCGAATTCACCTCCCAGCCTTACGGCATCAGTGCGTCTCCTCGCACCGCCCACTGCCTCTCCCCGCCCCGCCGCCGCCGCACCTCTGACACCGAGCGCACTCCCGCCGCCCGCCGTCCCCGCGTCGTCACGCTTCCCTGTGCACCTGACGGCGCTCGAGCTGCGCAGACGGCGCGCGCTCTGGCAGACAGAGCAGCGGCCGCCCAGGCGGTCGCTGCTCCGCCCCGTCCGAATCCGTCCGCCCGCGCGTGCTGCTGCCGCCGCCGCCGCCGCTCCACCCGGTGCCCGTGAGTCGTGAGAGTTGCTTTGTGAATGTCTATGTGTGTATGTCGTATGATACGCCGTATGTGTGTGCGGACTTATGTCACACTTGAGCCCTCTATCTATGATAGTAGACGGGTACTCGGGTTTGGATGGTAGCGGGGGGCCCCGCCGGAGGCTGGTTACTGATTGGCGGCAGGGCTCTTCCAGGTTATCTTCGTGATCACGCGCGAGCCTGTGAATAGGCCCCGAATATAAACTAAAGGGCTGACCTGACCCGGGGTACGGTGCCCACCCCGCGCCCCCGGAGCCCGAAAACGGGGCGCCGCGAGCTCGCAACGCCGAGTTTACAGTTTTCCTCGAAATCCACCCC